TGCTGGAGGCGCTGCAGGGCCTGCGCATGGCCGAGGTGGCCGCGGGCGGCTGGCACTCCCTGTGTGTGAGCGGTGAGTGACTCAAGCCTTCCTCCTCTCCCAGTGTTTTGGGGGCCTCGCCAGTCCTGCAGGCTCCTCCCACATCCATCAGCTCGCTCATTCATGACCCCGAAAGCCTCTCAAATTGCGCTCCTCTGCCACCACCGTCACCCGCTCACACTTGGGCTTCTGTTAGGGGTGTCACCACCCTGTCCATCCGCCCCCAGCAAGGGCTGTCTTTCTCAAATGCCCCCTGAGGATGCCCGGCTGGCGGGGCTCAGTGATTGAGCGTCCACCTATGAACCAGAAGGTCATGATTCGATTCCCCTCTCGGGGCACATACCCGGGTTGTGGGCCCGATCCCCAGTGTGGGGCGTGCAGGAGGCAGCTGATCAATGATACTCATCATTGATGTTTCTATCTGTCTCCCTCTCCCTTCTTCTCTGAAGTCAATAAAAATAAATTAAATGTAAAAAAATAAAATGCCCCCTGAAGGAGAATGCAGGGCGTGGAGCAAGGAGAATGGAGGAAAAGGCTGCAGGTGTCTAGGTGGCCATGACGTGTGGCTCACAGTGGACTCGTGCCCGCAGGGAGGATGCAGGGGGTGAGTGAGCCGTGGTGGTGACCTGGGACCCCAATGAGGAGTTTCACTTGGGGCTGGAAGCCCATCCGCTTGGCGGGCGGTCCAGGTGCCCGTGATCCCAGGGCTGTTGACGGGCTCAGAGCCGATGATTTTCTCAAGGGTCTGCATCTGGGCCTCTGGCTGCTACTTACATCTCCTGGGGCCTCTGTAAACCACCTGTGCCAGCCTGCCCCTCCCCCTCATTCTCATGTAATGGGCTGGGTGGGCAGCCAGGCCCAAGAGCTACTGGGCTGCAGGGAGCAGAGCAGATGCTGGGAACAGAGCAGGCGCTGGGAGCAGCCCAGTGGAAGGCTCACACTTGGGGTCCAGAAGGAATTTGAGGCGTAAGTTTGGTGTCCTGGTTGGAGCCGGGATGCTTCAAACCAGACGTCCCAGGTTCAGATCATCACTCTGCCCTTTGTGGCCTCGGGCAGGGCGCTTGGCCTCCCTGTGCCTCCAGTTCTCTCGTGACGAAAGTGGGAACCTTGTGTAAAGGGGGCTGTTGTCATAGACCCTCTATGTTCTGAGCTTTAAAGGATTCTATTGGACAAGAGCTTAAAACACTGGCACAGGTGAAAGCCCTCGATATCGATATTGATAACCATTAGCTACTGTTGTTAGTGAATTTTTAGCGCCGGGGCTGTTGCTACAGCCGACAAACGATAGTGATGTGGCGGCAGGCAGGGTGCGAGCTTTGAGAAGGACCAGTGGCAGGTGGGCTGGGCCCAGGGCATATGAACAGGGACCCGTTTCTAAAGCGTGTGCACGTGTGTGGTGTGAGGGGGGAGGGGGGGGACGATTTAGCAACAAAGGGAAAATGGAGAGGAAGGGCCTGCAAGAGACTTCCTTTAAGGCAGTGGTTCTCAACCTTCTGGCCCTTTAAATACAGTTCCTCATGTTGTGACCCAACCATAAAATTATTTTTGTTGCTACTTCATAACTGTAATGTTGCTACTGTTATGAATCGTCATGTAAATATCTGATATGCAGGATGGTCTTAGGCGACCCCTGTGAAAGGGGCCATTCGACCGCCAAAGGGGTCGCGACCCACAGGTTGAGAACCGCTGGGTTAGAGCATCGGTCTGAAGGGTCGCAGGTTTGATTCCCGTCAACGGTGTGTACTTTGGTTGCTGGCTCCATCCCTGGCCCTGATTGGACACGTGCAGGAGGCAACCAATCAGTGTGTCTCTCTCACATCGATTTTCTCTCTCTGTTTCTCCCTCCCTTCCACTCTAAAAACCAGTGGAGGGCCCTGGTCAGTTTGGCTCAGTGGATAGAGCGTTGGCCTGTGGACTGAGGGTCCCGAGTTTGATTCCCGGTCAAGGGCATGTCCCTTGGTTGCAGGCTTGACCCCTGGTCCTGGTCTGGGTGTGTGCATGAGGCAACCAATCGATGCGTTTCTCTCACATCCATGTTTCTCTCTGTCTTTCCCCCTCCCTTCCACTCTCTCTAAAAATCAGTGGAAAAATATCCTTGGGTGAGGATTATCAAAAAATAATAATAATAAAAATAATAATAAAAACCAATGGAGGTGAGGATTAACAAGAAAAAAAAAGGAAGAAGAAGAAAGAAAAGTGTGACCCGAAGGCCCTTTAGGGGAAGGGACCCTGTTAAGACAGACGCTGTTGCCCTAGCTGGTGTGGCTCAGTGGATAGAGCATCGGCCTGGGGACTGAAGGGTCCCGGGTTCGATTCCAGTCAAGGGCCCATGCCCAGGTTGCGAGCTCGATCCCCAGTGTGGGGTGTGCAGGAGGCGGCCAATCCTCATGGATGTTTGTATCTCTCCTCCTTTCCTCTCTCTGAAATTAATTTAAAAAATATTTAAAATAAAAGAAGACAGACACTGCTGGTCCCGAGGAGGCACCCTCCTGGGGCAGGGTTGTCCCCAGAGAGCGAGTGGGTGGAGGGGGGTTGGAGAGATGCAAGGGGCTTAGGAGGCGGAGGGCGTCCCAGCCTGTCTGATGGGCCCCTTTCTCTCTCTCAGAGACGGGGGACATCTACATCTGGGGCTGGAACGAGTCGGGGCAGCTGGCCCTGCCCACCAGGGGGCTGGCGGAGGACAGAGAGACAGTCGCAGGGGAAGGTGAGTCTCAGCTATTTTTTAAAAAAATTAATTTATTGATTGATTGATGATTTTAGAGAGAGGAAGGGGGAGAGAGAGAAAATCGTTTTGTTGTTCCACTTATTTATGCATTTATTGATTGATTCTTTTTTTAAAAAATAAGTTTTTATTGATTTCAGAGGAAGGGAGAGGGAGAGAGAGAAACATCAATGAGAGAATCATTGATCGGCTGCCTCCTACACGCCCCCTACTGGGGATCAAGCCCACAACCCGGGCATGTGCCCTGATCAGGAATCAAACTGTGATCTCCTGGTTCATAGGTCAGCGTTCAACCATGAGTCACACCGCTGGGCCATTGGTTGATTCTTTTTTTTCCCATTGGTTGATTCTTGTACGTGCCCTGGCCAGGGATCAAACCCGCCAGCCTTGGCGTTTGGGATGATGTTCTAACCAACTGAGCTTCCCGGCCAGGGGATCTCAACTCTTGACTCCCACACGTTTCTGTCGTTCCTGACCCCTGGCCACAGGCTGGCCTGAGAGCTTACAGCACTCAGAAGGGACACGTGACATCCCTGGGACCCAGGGCACAGGGGACATAGTCCCTTCCGGGAGGGGAGGAGGGTGAGCGCAGCGAGGCTGGTGCCCGCACCCCGTGCACTGCAGCACTTCCTGGGGCGAGGGCCGGGCACCAGCTTCGGAAGCTGCCATCCTCGCTCTCCCTTCTCTGAAGCCACTGCACTGAGGGAAGACGGTTCTGAGGTCAAGGGACCAGCGGGGACTGAGGATGGAGCTGCCGCCCCCTTCATCGCCGTGCAGCCCTTCCCGGCGTTACTGGACCTGCCCCTGGGCTCGGACGCGGTCACAGCCAGCTGCGGGTCCCGGCACACGGCCGTGGTGACGAGTGAGTGCGCCCGGTGGGCCAGCTCAGGGTGGAGCAGGACGTTGGACCGCCCATCAGTCCGCCCGCTCTCTGGCTGGTGGCTGCAGGCGGGTGTGTCCCCTAAAACACCACCATCGTGCAGAGTAGCTGCCTCAGCACAGAGAGCCCCGACCTCCCTGTGGGTTCTCTCTGGAGGCTGGTGCTGCGGCCTCTGCACAGGCGCAGACCCCGGGCCTCCGGTCACCGGGCAGCAGCATCCGCCCGGCCAGCTGTGCAGTCGCCCGAGCTCAGTAGCTGAGCTACTTGATCCCCAGTAGGGGGCGCTGTGAGGCAGTCGGGTGGGGAGGGCAACCGTTCTCAGGGCGGGTCCTTGACCAGCCGGGACGGGCTGGTTAGAAAGAGCCAAGCCCGTGCTGAGTGGTGCTCCGTCCGCCCCTCGGTGTGCAGTGTGCGGCTCGGGCTGGTGGCCGGCCAGCTGGACGGCTGCCGAGTCAGGCAGCACGGTGACCGCCCCACTGTCCTTCTGGTTGCAGGGACCGGGGAGCTCTACACCTGGGGCTGGGGTAAGTCAGGCTCTGCCTCTGCGATGGGTAAACCAGGGGGAGGGGCGGGAGGGCAGGGCAGGGCCGAGCCCCTGCACGTGGGAGGGCCTGACGGAGGAGCTGTCTCTAGAACAGGGCTAGGCACTCGGCTCAGACGGTATCAGTACTTCCCATCTGCCTTTCCTTCTTTTTTTCCTAAATGTTTTTTCTTTCTTTCTTTCTTTCTTTTTTTATATATATATACACTAGAGGCCCGGTGCATGAAGCGGGAGGGCAGGGCAGGGCCGAGCCCCTGCACGTGGGAGGGCCTGACGGAGGAGCTGTCTCTAGAACAGGGCTAGGCACTCGGCTCAGACGGTATCAGTACTTCCCATCTGCCTTTCCTTCTTTTTTTCCTAAATGTTTTTTCTTTCTTTCTTTCTTTCTTTTTTTATATATATATACACTAGAGGCCCGGTGCATGAAGAAAGTACATGGGGCGGGGGTGGGGGGTTCCCTCAGCCCCGCCTGTGCCTTCTCACATTCCGGGGCTCTTGCAGTCCAGGACCCCTTGCTCCTTACCGCCCGCCTGCCGTGGAGGTGGGAGAGGCCACCGCCGCTGCGCTCGCCAGCCATGAGCCCGGCTTCTGGCTGAGTGACACTCCCCCTGTGGGAGCGCACTGACCAACAGGGGGCAGCTCCTGTGTTGAGCATCTGCCCCCTGGTGGTCAGTGCACGTCATAGCGACCGGTCATTCTGCTGTTTGGTCCGTTTGCATATTAGGTTTTTATTATATAGGATATGGATCTTTTTCCATTGATTTTTAGAGAGAGTGGGAGAGAGAGGGAAAGACCGCGAGAAACATCGATGTGAAAGAAACACATCAATTGGTTGCCTCCTGCACAAGTCCCGACCAGGGCCCGGGCTGGGGAGAAGCCTGCAACCGAGGTACTGCCCTTGACTGGAATTGAACCCAGGACGTTTCAGTCTGCAGGCCAACGCTCTATCCACTGAGCCACACTGGCCGGGGCCCGTCTGCCTTTCTGGAGAACTGTTTGTCTTAGGGGGATAGTTAGCCAGCGTCTGTGAAACACCTTGTGGTCTGGCACTGGGCTCGGAACCCCTGGGGTCCTGAGAGGCAGCTGGCCGGAGGCTGGTCTGAACTCACAGCAGACGCCGCAGGTGCTGGCTGAGGCCCACCCAGGGGCTGGTTTCCTGGTTGGCGGGGAGCAGCCCCAAAGAAGGCCCCCGGAGGGCATGGCCAAGGGTCTCGTTTCCCTGTAGGGAAGTACGGACAGCTCGGCCACCAGGACACCACCAGCTGGGACCAGCCCCGTCGGGTGGAATACTTTGTGGATAAGCAGCTCCAAGTAACGGCGGTGCGCTGTGGGCCCTGGAACACCTACGTTTACGCAGTGGAGCAGAAGAGCTGATGTACGTAGACAAGGGCATGGAGTGAGTGCCCAGCACAGTAGAGTTTTAAAGCCGCCACCTGTGAGGCCCCCGGGGCCCCGCCTCTGCCCATCAAGGCCTTTCGGTGGCTTCCCCTTAGACCAGCGTTCTCAAGTTGGTCCTCGGGTTGGAAACACCCAGAGAGCTTTGGAAACGGGTGCTCAGGGCCAGCATCAAAGGCCCTGACATCAGCCCGGCCGGCGTGGCTCAGTGGTTAAGTGTCGACCTCTGAACCAGGAGGTCACGGTTTGATTCTGGTTGGGGCACGTGCCCAAGTTGTGAGCTCGATCCCCAGTGTGGGGTGTGCGGGAGGCAGCCGATCCATGATTCTCATCGATGTTTCTGTCTTTTTCTCCCTTCCTCTCTGAAATCAATAAAAATATATTTAAAAAAAACAAAGGTGAAATCAGAACCTCGGGGGTAGATTTGAGAGCTTCGAGACCTCCTCCCGAGCCCCCCCCGCCCTGGTGATTTTGCGGCAGCGCCAGGATTGGACCCACTGGGGTCATCTCCGTGCCGGGCGTCTGCTTTTACTGAGGGCTGTGCCGCCCTGTGTGCTCCCTGTACCACGTAGTTCAGTGTGTCTGCTTCTCGACTTGCGGTGAATGCAGTCATGCTGTGTATGTTCCTCTGTGTCTCGTATTTTCATTAGCAACACCTGGCCTTCCATTGAGGCGTAAACCTCAGTTATATCTTCTTGGGTTGATGGTCATTTCAACCTATTTTTAATTGAGTTAAACTACACATCAAAAATTTACCACTTGCCGAAACCGGTTTGGCTCAGTGGATAGAGCGTCGGCCTGCGGACTGAAGGGTCCCAGGTTCGATTCCGGTCAAGGGCATGTACCTGGGTTGCGGGCACATCCCCAGTGGGGGATGTGCAGGAGGCAGCTGATCGATGTTTCTCTCTCATCGATGTTTCTGACTCTCTATCTCTCTCCCTTCCTCTCTGTAAAAAATCAATAAAATATATTTTTAAAAAAAAATTTACCACTTACCTGGCGAGGGTGGCTCAGTGGTTGAGCATCAACCCATGAACCATGAGGTCACGGTTTGATTCCCAGTCGGGCACATGCCCGGGTTGCGGGCTCGATTCCCCAGTAGGGGGCGTGCAGGAGGCAGCCGATCCATGATTCTCTCTCATCTCTCTTCCTTTCTCCCTTCCTCTCTCTGAAATCAATAAAAACATACTTACAAAATAAACTTATCGCTTCCCACTTTTTAGTGCACAGTTCAGGGGTGTTAAATGCATTCGCACTGTTGTGTGGACACCAGCCACCATCCCCGTATCTCTCAGCTTGTGAATCGGAGTCGCTCTACCTGTTAAGCAATAACTCCCCCCCGCCCCCGGCCCCTGGCAGCCACGTTATATTGTCTTTATGACTTGACTACTCCCGTACCTGACGTGAGAGGAATCGTACAGTACTTGTCTTCTTGTGACTTAGCATCATGCCCTCGGGTTCGTGCATGTTGTGCCGTGTGTCAGAAGTTCCTTCTTTTTGGGGCCCGTGTAGTATTCCACTGCATGTAGAGACCACATTTTGCTCATCTGCTCATAGTCAGTGGACACTTGGGTTGCTTCCATGTTTTAGCTGATGTGAGTAATGCTGCTGCTGTGAACGTGAGTGTACAGATAACTAACTCTCTTTTAATATATTTTATTGATTTTTTACAGAGAGGAAGGGAGAGGGGTAGAGTTAGAAACTTTGATGGGAAAGAAACATCGATCAGCTGCCTCCTGCACACCCCCTACTAGGGATGTGCCCACAACCCAGGTACATGCCCTTGACCGGAATTGAACCTGGGACCCTTCAATCCGCACGCCGACGCTCTATTCACTGAGCCAAACCGGTTAGGGCCAGATATCTCTTTAAGACCCTGTTTCCAATTCCTTTGGCTGTATACCAGAAGTGGAATTGCTGGGTCATGTGGTAATTTTTAAAAAATATATATTTTTTTATTGATTTCAGAGAGGAAGGGAGAGGGAGAGGGAGATAGAAACATCAGTGATGAGAGAGAATCATGGATCAGCTGCCTCTTGCACACCCCCCACTGGGGATATGCCCGCAACCAAGGTACATGCCCTTGACTGGAATCGAACCCGGGACCCTTCGGTCCTCAGGCCGACGGCTCCATCCACTGAGCCAAACCAGTCAGGGCATTTTAGTTATTTTTAAAATATATTTTTATTTACTTCAGAGAGGAAGGGAGTGGGGGAGAGAGATAGAAACAATGATGAGAGAGAATCATTTATCAGCTGCCTCTGGCACGCCCCCTACTGGGGATCAAACCCACAACCCAAGCATGTGCCCTGACCAGGATTCGAACCATGACCTCCTGGTTCATAGGTTGACACTCAACCACCAAGCCACACCAGCCAGGCTTCAGTTTTTTGGGAGCGTTTGAAAGGTATTGGTGTTAATTTTTTTAAAAATGTTTGGTAAAATTCACTAGGGAAGCCATCTATCTGGTCCTGGGTTTTCTTTGTTGTGAGGTTTTGAGTACTGACTCAATCTTGTCACAGGTCTATTCAGATTTCCTTTTATTATTATTATTATTATTACTATTACTGATTTTAGAGAAAGGGAGAGAGAGAAACATCTACTTTGTTACAACAGTTATTTTAAAAGTTATTTAGTGTTTAAGTGACTATATAACAATCACATAATCAGTGATTCATTACTTCACACACTGGGCAGGAAAGTGTGGAGTATTTCTATTGTACAACTGGTTGGTTCAGGGAGAGTGAAAATCTCTAGCACTTAGATGGTTGAAGAAATTCTCTTTTAAAGTGTGGGCATGTCTGAAAAGACTTAATCAGCACCTTCTTTATATGGCTCTGGATTGAAAGGAAGACAATTTCGACTTGTATTATAATTTCAGAGATAAGTATTGCTTCTCCGGCTTGTTTTTCATTTCCATTTGCATGAGAAAATTTTTCCATCCCGTCACTTTCATCCTGTGAGTCTTTTGTCCTGAGGTGGGTCTCTTGTAGACAGCATATACATGGGTTGTTTTCTTTTAAATATATTTTTATTGATTTCAGAGAAGAAAGGAGAGGGAGAGAGAGAAACATCAGTGATGAGAGAGAGCCCATTGATTGGCTGCCTCCTGCACACCCCACACTGGGGATTGAGCCCGCAACCCGAGCATCCCGTGACCGGAATCGAACCCGGGACCCTTCAGTCCACAGGCCGACGCTCTATCCACTGAGCCACACCAACCAGGGCCATGGGTCGTTTTCTTATCGATCCAGCAACCCCGTGTCGTTTAATTGGTGCGTTTTGCTCCACGTAGTTATGCATTCCTTGGTGGCTTCTTGTTGTGCCCTGACTGGGGCGTGAACCCACAGCCTTGGCGTATCGGGACAAACTCCAACCAACTGAGCTGCCTGGCCAGGGCCCAGGTTGCCTATTTCTTCTTCTTTTTAGATCTATTTTTAAATTTGAATTTACTGGTGGTTTCCACGTTATCAGATCTGTATGTGGCACCGTGTGCCCCCCGCCCGAAGTCAGAACTTCCCGTCACCTCATGTTAGGGCCCCTTCTCCCCCCACCCTCCTTCCTTCCTTCCTCTTTCTTCTGGAGGCAGGTTTGGTAGTTTGTGTGTTTTTAGAAATTTGTCCATTGCCTCCAGGCTATCTACTTTATTGCCACTAATTGTTGTTAACTAATTAATTGTTTAGTATTCCTGTTCTTCATGGTGCTGAGAGGGCAGTGTTAACACATTGCGGACCAGTAGTTTCATTGCTAGCTTTACCCAGTAGCCAGATAAATTTCTATGGAACGAGTACAAAAAACGTTTTACATAAATGTTAAAGGCACGCTTTAAAATTAAATACCCATTGCATTTTGAAGTTATTACATGTTCTTACAAGCTACTATCTTTTTAAAGTATTCTCCTGATTGGCCACAAGCCTTAGAACAGAAAACACAAGGATTCTCATGATCTGTCTGCAATGTGTTGAAAATCCAACCAAGATTGTGAATATATCTTTCTCCTTTTGATTCAATTTCTGACTTTATTTGTATGCACTGTGAGGTACATAGAAATCTGGGATGCTTATATCTGCTGTAGGTTGCCCCTTTTTACCATCGTGAATTTTCTCTCTCTGGGCGGGGTTGGGTGGGGCGGGGGTGTGTGCAGGAGAGTCCCTCCTGCCGCTCTCCGTGGTGCTGATCTCTCCCCACCCGGGGCCTGGCGACTGTGCCCCGGTCCCGCCTGGTTGGTGAGTTCCCTTTGGGTTCTTTGTCTTGATAACAAGTGTGCGGTGTTGACACTGCTGGGAAGTAGTTGAACTATGACTTTAGCTCCATGGTGTCCACACTGGCTTTCTGTTCTGTGGATACTGCCACTGCCCCACACGTTCCTCCTTGCTCTTTGTGGGGCGGGCAGGCAGGAGGCCCGGTTCCCCGGGAACCCCGAGAATATGACCCTGTTGGGTGGCAGCTGATCTCGGCAGTGGGAGGGGAGAGCTGGAGGTGCCGCCGTGTGGGAAGTGGTGACTGCCAGGCGGGACGCTGAGGCTCCTGGGGAAGTGGCCACCCTGCCGTGCGCCCCAGGGCAGCCTGGGACTTGGGTCCACGAAGGGGTCCCAACAGGAGTTAGCAACCCCACCCCACGGGGAAGAGCTGGTGTCCTCCAGGGCTCCCAGGAGGGGCTGGGCTGTCAGGTTGGAGAAAGGAGACCAGGGAGGTCTGGAGGTGGTCAGGTCTCCAACACTGTGATCAGGGGCAAGGATTGGAGCTGGGAGGTCAAAAGTCAAAGGTCAGATGCCATAATGAAGACTTGAGGGGAGAGACCACAGGTCTGGGTCTGGGTCTGGGATGGAACCGCCTTATCTCTGCTCCTTGCTTCAGCTGCGGGGCTAAGGCCTCCCTGGAGGTGGTGCTGAGGCAGTCGCTGTCTGCGCTGGGGGATGACAGGTCGGGACAGGCACAAAGGTGACACGGGTGCTGGATGTCCCGCAGGCTCTCAGCACTGCCACCTACAGGCCTGGTGTGCTGACCCCGAAGACCCGCACTGAGATGGATGGCAAAGGAGGGGGAGTCAGGTGGGGGAAGAGCGTGGGAAGGGGTGCCAGTCCTTGGTGCACCTCTGGGGATGCCCATGCAGGTGCACGTGGGCGATTGTGGCCACGTAACACATGCCCCCTCCTAGCACCCCGTGGGAGGCGGTGCTCAAGGGGCCGTCCTGTACCGGCAGGTGAGAGACTGGCCAGTGTCCTCTCCCAGGAAGGGCTGGCTCCTCCCCACTCCAGCCCCTGCCTCCTGGTCCTCAGAGGGTCCTGGGCAGGGCTAGGGGCTCAGGACCTGCTGGGCCTTCCTGGGTCAGGGGACTGGCCCTGAGCCTAGAGCTCTGCTGGTCTCTGAGGGGGGGGGGGTCAGTGTATACCCAGCGTGAGGCACGTTCCGGCCTCTGGGGCAGACGGGTGCGGGAGGGATGCCTGGTGTGATTCTTGAGCTGAAAATGGAGATACAGGGACAGAGAAGGGGAGGGACAGTGAGCTGGAGCCTGGCCGTGAGTGGCCACGGGGGCGGACCGTCTGGACTGGCATCCCTCCCTGCACCCTTGCATGGGCACGTGAGGGTCCGCATGAGCCAGGGTGTGTCCGGGTGACTGTGTCTGTCAGGGAGTGTCTGTGTGCACATCAAGCATGAGGGCTCCTCCCCAGCCTGCAAGGGGGCCCCCAGCAGAGCTCACACCCTGAGAGCAGGGAGGGAGGGAGGAGACGGTGGGGAGCACTCCCCCGGGTCTGGAGCCTGGCTCTGCCCATGTGTTGGCTGACCCTGACCAGGCCTGTTTCCCTTTGGTGGGACAGGATTAGATGCATCCCGCACAGTCCGGGACTTGCCTTGGCAGGAGCAGCAGCTGCGTTCTCGTGAGAGTAAGTCGAGGCAGCTGAGCACAGGTGTCCCCACCCCAGGAGGCAGAGGGGCTGCTGGGGGAGCTGCCTGTGGGACAGAGGAGGCCAGTTCCGTCTTCCACCAACTCCATTCCATAGCCAGGGGCCCCTTGTTTGGGGGTTCCCCACTTTGGGGGCTCCCCTAAGGCAATTATGACCATGCATGGCCGCCTGTGGGTCAGGCTGCAAGTCCAGCTGCCAGTCGTTAATGGAACACTTGCGCCCTGGTGTGGCCTCACAGGGAGCACAGCTGGGCTCCCCTGAACCTCGCAGTCCTCGGGCCTTCTCTGCCCCTCCTCCCACTCCCCACAGGCCCCTCAAGCTCCAGCCCCGGGACTCGCCCCCTTGATCTCATTTTCCTCTTTCTCTGTTTCTCAAGCAGCAATGCCCTGAGCTCTTGGCTCCTTCCATCTGCTCTCTGCCCACCACCTGGCTCTGCCTCCTGGTGCCTCGCAAATGGGCTGAGGCTGTTGGTTTCCACGTGGTGCGGCCCCTGGTTCTCAGGCTTCCTTGGGGCGGGTCTCATTTTCCTCTTTCACTGTTTCTCAAGCAGCAATGCCCTGAGCTCTGAGCTCCGGGCTCCTTCCATCTGCTCTCTGCCCACCACTGGGCTCTGCCTCCTGGTGCCTCGCAAATGGGCTGAGGCTGTTGGTTTCCACGTGGTGCGGCCCCTGGTTCTCAGGCTTCCTTGGGGCTGGGGGCAGGGGGTGGGACAAGCTGGGTAACGGTCCACAAAGCCCGCCGTCCTGAGAGCCGGCCGTTTTGAATAAATGCTCCCTGGACTGTCGCACATGGGTTAGTGTCCAGAGTCTGGAGAAGTTGACTTTGGCCATTTTTGCCAGCGTTCTCATTCCTTATGGAGCAGTTTGTAGACTTCCTTACCCACATTCCTGCTGACACCACTCCTTTTCTTTCTTTTTTAAGTATATTTTTATTGATTTCAGAGAGGAAGGGAGAGGGAGAGAAACAGCAATGATGAGAATCATTAATCAGCTGCCTCCTGCACGCCGAGCCCGCAACCCTGGCAGGTGCCCTGACTGGGGATTGAGCCCTGCCCCCCTGGTTCATAGGTCAGTGCTTAACCACTGAGCCACGCCCAGCTGGGTACCACTCATTTTAGTCATTTTTAACTGTTAAAACCAGTCCTCCCGTGAGCAGCTTGTATTAGAAAATTGATGTGGCTAGATTTATCTTTAACTATATCGCAGCATTCACATGGCCCATCAGCATTGTCACTTTAATCGTAAATACAAGAGCCACCAACTAGGTGCACAGATGTGTTAGCGGTAATCGGTGAGCAGTTCATTGCTCAGCACTGCTTATTGGGGGAACATTTCACACTTCCATCGGCTTACGTGCTCTGTAGCCTCTGACAGTGGTGAGAAGCCGTTACGTTGGGCCCTGGGGTTAGGCCTCCGTCCACAGCCCCGAGGCCCCTGCGGCTGAGGGACCGGCCGTGTCTGAGGGACCCTGTGCTGCTCGCCTTGCAGGGCATCCCAGGCTGCTGACCAGGACTGTGGCCGAGACCCCGGAGCACAAGCAGGTCTCCGGGCGGCTGCTGCACCGGCAGATCAAGGGCAGGTGAGTGACACCCGTGCGGCCGCCCCACCCCCCAGACAGCTCTCCCTGCTCCGTGGGCTTCGTGACTCAGGTCCCGACTGTTTCTTACAGCCAGAGAGCACCGTCAGCTCCGAGGGCCGAGAACCCACGGGAGGGGCTCTGTCTGGCCTCGCGCACCTGGCGAGTGGTTTTGAGATTTACCCGTGTTGTTCACGTGTCAGTTCATCCCTTTCTGTTACTGAGCAATAATATGTAATTGAGTGGATATTCCACAACTTATTTTTTAGATGGAGTGGGAGAGACAGAGAGAAACTTCGATGTCAGACACACACTGATTGGCTGCCTCCTGCTGAGGTTCGTGCCCTTGACTGGGAATTAAGACCCTTTGGTGCATGGGCCGAAGCTCTAACCACTGAGAAACTGGCCAGGGCGATATTTCACAATTTTAAAATCCATGTGCTGACACGGGGAAGGAGAGGTGGGTCTTCATTATGGCCAGGCAGGGCTGGGGTCTAGAGTCCCAACTTCCTGTGCTGAGGGGCGGTTTCCTGGCAGCTGCCTGGGCAGAGCAGGTCTCCCCTGTCTTTTGTGACCCGTCCCGGGTTCTCGGAGGGCAGTTTTGGCCACACCTCTGGGTGTGTTCAGGGTGTCGGCCTCTCCAGCACCCATGGGACCCGAGGAGCAAAGAGGAACTTCTGGGCACTCACTGCCCGTCTCTGGGTCCTGAGTCCCAGCCAGGCGGCCTCTGCTCTCCGCCCTTGTCCTCCTCACAGTTGCTGCACGTAACATACAGGAATACTAGGGAGGAGCACGTGTGTGTCTTGTCAAGGCTCCGTCTTTCATTATTGGTGCTTGGGTTTCACACACGTGTCTGTGCAAGTGTTTCTACAGAATAAATTGTAAGCAGTGACGTTTGTGGGTATTAGAATGCACACATTTTAAGAATTAACTTTGCTGTAAAGTGGCTTCCAGAAACATACGTTTTAACTCTGACGTGTGGGCGTGCTGGCCAGCACTGATGTTATCAAACTTGTGGGCTGAGGAGCTGTCTCTCTAACGTGCTAACTGGGAATTGATTATTAGTGATTGTGAATAATCCTTGTGCTCTGGGTCCTCTGATCCTGATCCAGATGTTGAGTCCCTGGAGCAGGTGTCGCTGCTGGTTTGTGGGGTGTGGAACCCTCCTGCCCTGGTGTCGCTCGGCCCCCAGCGCACACGCACACCAGCAAGCCTGAGTGGTGAGTGGCCTTTTTAAAAATTATCATGGACTTCCTTTTTTAATCAAGATATTTATGGTAGAAAAAATAGAGAAGCCAAAATTTTAATGATCACTTGGTAACCCTATAACTCTCAAATCCTGTAAACATGTTAACATTTTAGCTTTAATACTATTCTTACAGGTGTTACTTCTATATAAATATATGTAATATACACATAAACTGAAATATTTAAATTATTTTAAGAGTCACTGTACCTCATGGTGGCCGGTCCTGACACTGAGGTGACAGGCTGGTGGGCCACCTTCTTTGCACCTCGCTGGGGCCACATATCACCCACCACTTATCTTTGCTACAACAATTAACCCCTCGAGTGCTGGGGAGCGCGATCGCGCTCCTCCTGTCTTTCGCCAAAAGTGCCAGAAGCGCTATCAAAGCTTCAAAATGGCATCCAGTTCTAAGTCTATTTTTATTAGTGATGATGATATTGCTTAATATGTCAATGTAGTAAAGGTTTCCTTAAGTTTTTGAATATGTAACTTCATTTACTTGCGATTCATAATTTTTTTCCTAAACTGCTGTAAAATCAGCAAAAATGCCTTGGCAATTTTAGCATAGTTCCTAGGATATTGGTTGGCACTCAAAGGGTTAATTGTCTCATTACTTCTATTATTATTTGTGGCTGTGGTTAGATCTATGTTCTCCTAAGTCCAAAATATATAATATACATCAGTAAGTTTTTACAAAGTATTTAGAACCAGCGGTTCTCAACCTGTGGGTCTCGACCCCTTTGGCGGTCGAACGACCCTTTCACAGGGGTCACCTAAGACCATCCTGCATATCAGATATTTACGTTATGATTCATAACAGTAGCAACATTACAGTTATGAAGTAGCAACGAAAATAATTTTATGGTTGGGTCTGACTCAGGTCCCGACTGTTTCTTACAGCCAGAGAGCACCGTCAGCTCCGAGGGCCGAGAACCCACGGGAGGGGCTCTGTCTGGCCTCGCGCACCTGGCGAGTGGTTTTGAGATTTACCCGTGTTGTTCACGTGTCAGTTCATCCCTTTCTGTTACTGAGCAATAATATGTCATTGAGTGGATATTCCACAACTTATTTTTTAGATGGAGTGGGAGAGACAGAGAGAAACTTCGATGTCAGACACACACTGATTGGCTGCCTCCTGCTGAGGTTCGTGCCCTTGACTGGGAATTAAGACCCTTTGGTGCATGGGCCGAAGCTCTAACCACTGAGAAACTGGCCAGGGCGATATTTCACAATTTAAAAACCTATCCATGTGCTGACACGGGGAAGGAGGTGGGTCTTCATTATGGCCAGGCAGGGCTGGGGTCTAGAGTCCCAACTTCCTGTGCTGAGGGGCAGTTTCCTGGCAGCTGCCTGGGCAGAGCAGGTCTCCCGGTTCTCGGAGGGCAGTTTTGGCCGCACCTCTGGGTGTGTTCAGGGTGTCGGCCTCTCCAGCACCCATGGGACCCGAGGAGCAAAGAGGAACTTCTGGGCACTCACTGCCCGTCTCTGGGTCCTGAGTCCCAGCCAGGCGGCTCTGCCCTTAAGTTTTTGAATATGTAACTTCATTAACTTGCGATTCATAATTTTTTTCCTAAACTGCTGTAAAATCAGCAAAAATGCCTTGGCAATTTTAGCATGGTTCCTAGGCTATTGGTTGGCACTCAGAGGGTTAAGTCTCAACCAATGGCGTGTCAAGCTCCTGTCTGTATTTGGTAACACGAGTGTTGCTCACGTGCACGTGGGAGAGGTCAGGTGGCGTGTCTCCCTGCTGACGGCTGTGGCTCTGCTTCTGTAGAGGTGAGTCTGAGAAGAAGCCCTCGCATCAAGCAGCTGGCACTCGGCAGGAGGAAATCTGGTCCCTTCTATTCTGCGTCTCAGCCGCAGCCCGTCAGGTAACGTGCCTGCCCCACGTCCACTTGGTGGGAAGTATTTTTGGGAAAAGCGGGGTGAAACTTGACCATGGAGATGAGAAAGGGTGAGCAGAGAGGATAAGAAGAGAGATCTGGGAGAACATTGAGGGAGATGAGAGTGAGATTGGGGAGACAGGTGAGCTGAGGGAGGGAAAGGGGTGAGAACAGGAATTTCAGGGCGATTGTTCAGAAAGAGGGTGAACAATTGCTCTGAAATTTAGAGGGGAATGAGAAAATAACTGAGAGGGAAGAGAATAGAGGAGGTCAGAGATGATTGAGCTCAGAGGTGAGAAGAGGTAACAGGGAGAGTCAGAGTGAAGATGGGAAAGAGGGAGACCGGGAGAGTGCTGAGAGGGGAGCTTGGACAGAGAGATGAGTGGAATCTAGTGGGAGATCAGGGAGCTGGATCGAGATCAGGGAGAGAAGAGAAAGAACAGGAATTGCAGAGAGTTGAGGGAGAGCAGAGACCATTCTGAGAGAGAAGCATGAAATCACAGAGAATGAGCTGAGGGAGAGAAACAGTTGAGAGAAATGAGTGGGATCAAAGAGGGAAGAGAAAAAGTGCTGATTGAGCTCAGAGGGTAGGAAGAGAGGTTAGAGTAAGAAGAGAGAGGAGACAGGGAGATGAGAGATGAAATCAGACAACTGAGCTAAATGAGTGGGATCAATCAGATGGAAGGGAAAAAAATAGAGGGAGACTGAGTTCACAGGGAGAGAAGAGAAAGATCAATCAGACAAAGAATAGGAATTTCAGAGTTGAGAATGAGAAGAGAGATCAGAGGGAGATAAGAGAGACCACTGAGCTGAGGGAGGGAGAGGATAGAAAGGAAGAGAGAAAAGAGATCAGAAAGAGGAGACAGTGAGACGAAAGGGGAAAAAGAATAGGAATTTAGAGTGAGAAGAGAGATCAGAGAGAGGGAGGGAAGAGAGAATAGGAGAAGAGGAAGAGACTGAAACAGGAGAAAGTGCGTGTGGGGTGTGCTGGGACTCACTGCGCTGTCCTGGGCCACTCCCCTGAAGCGTGCTCCCAGTCACACACACGCCTGCACCTGAATCTTTTTTAATGGAATTTGTCATCACATTGGTTAATAAAATCTACAGCTTTAGGTGTACAATCCCATAATATGTCATCTGTATATGGTATTTGCGCCCAAATCTTTCGTGTGTGCATGAACGACAGAGGAGGAAGGGGTGGGGTGCAGAGTCCAGGTTTGAATGAGGGATTTTCTTAACGAGCTTAATGACAGTATCCCAAAGGCTGTTCTGGTTTGGAGAATGTGCTTTCTGCATCTATACCTTCCACATTCAACCTGCAGCCCCCCCCCCACACACACACACACTCAATGCCTGGCGCACAGTAGGTGCTCAGTCGTTGCACTGCCAGTGTAGGGGGTGTGACACCCAGGCTGCCTCAGGCAAAGGTCAGGAACAGTCATGTTGGAGAGAAGGCACTGTGCCTGATGGGGTGACGCTGAGAGGCGCACAGCAGAGCAGAGTTACCATGTAGCACTCACCACAACCCAGAGGAGCAAACACCTCGCTCCTGACACTGTCCTCAGTGCCTGTCAGTGGCCGCCTGCCTGAGGACAAGGCCTCCCTGTGGTTCCCCTGAAGCCGTTTGGGACAGGATGGATGGAACAGGCTCCATCAAACACACTGGGCTCCCCTGCCTCCCTCCATTCGCTATGATTCCTTCTCTTCCAAAGACATTTTAATGAACATCTGAATTATTTACAGTGACCACAGGCATCACATTCCCAGGGTTTGGTGACCCAATGAATGAAACAGGTGTGTGTTTCGTCATCAGGTGGAGGCTGTGTGTGGGGACAGACAGAGGTGGGAGGGTGCACACAAGCTCCTTTGTCACAAACCTCTCAGATCCTGTTGTGATGAGGAAGCCTTTGAAATTCAAGGGCCCAACATTCCAAGGTGCTGGGACATGTGCCCGCAGAGAGGAGCAAGGGGAGGTCTGAGAGATGCCCCGAGGCCTGGCAGCCTGGCTGTGGGCACACAAGTTGCTTCAGGCATTACAGGGTCCAGAGAGTCCCCAGCATCACCATTACAGCCAGATGCAAAAAATAAAGTGCACTACTTTTCTGTTAAATTTTGACGAGAACCCATTCTGCTCTAAGTCCAGATTCCCTGTTAAAATCTCCATTTCATTGGTGAAGGAAATGAGGTCAGACTGAATAAATAACTTCACAGTCACAGAAAGGCAACTTAAATCCAAGTCCGATTCCAAACCTTATTCTCTCTCTGTCACCAGTTAACCAACTGGAAGTTGGAAGAAACCACAGAAAGGCAACTTAAATCCAAGTCCAATTCCAAACCCTATTCTCTGTCACCAGTTAACCAACTGGAAGTTGGAAGAAAGAATCGGGAAAGGAGAAGAAAACCATGAAGAAGATGAGACACACACAGTGAGAAGTGACGCGCTCACGCTCACACTGCCCGCGTCTAAGCTGCGCCTGGACGCTTCCTGACGTCACTGGCAGCTCACGGGGAGGGCGGCTCAGCAAGCTTTCCGAGGTTCTTAACACCCTCAGGCTCCAGTGGTGAGATGAAATGCCAACGAAAAATGATGCAAAACATTTGCAAACAATAGAAGTGAAATTGTGGCTTTTTTGTTTTACCTGTATAGTCTAACTATTAATTTGATATTAGTGACCATATATGGCTTTTGAAACCAAGAAAATGTTCCTTAGCATAGAGCAGGACGAGTGGTCTTACATTCATAGTTTACTGAGGACCAAGGTAGCAATGGCTGGTTTGACAGCCCTTATTCACCAGACTTGGGTCTTGGGAACCCCTAACCTCCAACAAAATTAAATGGCAGAACATAACTGTGTGCCATCACTGCATATTCTAGGAGGAATGAAGGCACTGCCCCCAAATGGTCCTGCGATAGACGTGGGCAGTATCCGTCACAGCACATCACAGACTCACCCAGTTGTCTGCTGAACCAAATGCAAGAGTTTAAAGAGCAAGTGGGGAACACTTTCTTCTCTAGGTCACCGGGGCACTGCACTCGTCTGAGTCCCACCCCGTGCACTGGCCCCCCATCAGCACCTCCTCTCTCCCAGGTCTCGGCACTGGAGGCTTTTATACTTGGTCACTCCCTCTCTCAATCCCGACTGAGGGCAGCTGCTACATCCCTGTCTCAGCCTGGACCACGCCACTGACGTCCCCTCCCTACTTGGTATCTGTGCCTGGAGGACTGTACACATGTGCACATGTGAAACTTCTGTCCAGACCAAACTCCTGCTCTTCCCTCCAACCTGATGGGGCTGTAGTTCCCTCTCCTCATTCAAGGGCAGCTCTGTATTTCTATCTTCAGGCTCAGAACTTTGGGGTCTGTCTCACCCACACACCCAATCCACCAGCAGATCCTTTAAAATAGAACCAGAATCCAGTACCAGTACCTCCCTCTGGGTCAAAACACCACCACCTCACACCTGTTGCCTCCAGCTCTGCTCACCCATAGTCCACTTCTCACAGAGCAAGCAGGGCAACCTTCTCAAAATAGAAGGTGGATTGTGTTCTCACTCGGCTCTATATCCACCAATGCTTTTCTATTCCACAAAAGTAAAGCAAAAGTCTTTACAATGACCTGCCAGGTTGCACAAGATCTAAACCTCATTCCTTCTCTGTGCTCCTCACTTCAGCGCCTCCCCACACACTTCTGGTCCCGCCACCTGGTCTCCTGGCTGCACTGAGCACACAGCCCCCTCCCCCCAACACACACACCTGAGGGCTCCTGTACGGGCTGTTCTTTGCTCTGGGAACACTCCCAGGGGCAGAGTTCTCTCACCTTCATCTGAGAAAGGAATTTATATTTTCCAAAGGAAGTGCTTATAAAATGAGCAGACTCAGTGTCCAGCTATGGATTCATTTTCTATTGAAAAGGGCACGTTCCGTGAAAGCAGACACCTCCCAATTCCAAACCAAACCTGGCCCTCCAGCCCCAGCCACACACCAGGAAAGTGAGATGGAAATTATAAGCTGAGATAAGCCCTCCATCACCATGAAGAAGGCTCGGGAAGGAGACCTCATGGCCCCCCAAAACCTAGGTCTAAGGACCCTAGGAAGTCACCTGTGGTGTTTTTGCGGAAAAAGATACCCTTTGCCCAGTAACTTGAAGTGTAAGCTCTGGCTCTCATCACTCTGATCCACAGCACAATAAGCACGCACAGCACCTGACAGAAGTTTCTAGTACAGGAAGGCAAACGGATAGAGAGGAGCTCACATACGGCCGAGACCTCAGAATGCGAGTCTCCCTGCATCGAAATTCCAGAGGTAGTGCCCACCCTCAGGTGACACCTGCTCTTAGGCCACGATGTGCACAGCGCTGTGGCGATCACCATGATCCCATGAAACAGGAAAACATGGCCAGGACACACCACTCTTCAGTGTGACTAACAGGGAACAAAGCCTCAGAATGCGAGTCTCCCTGCATCACCCTCAGGTGACACCTGCTCTTAGACCACGATGTGCACAGCACTGTGGCGATCACCATGATGCCATGAAACAGGAAAACATGTGGCCGGGACACACCACTCTTCAGTGTGACTAACAGGGAACAAAGTTCCATAATTAAGCTAAAAAGAACATTGGGCAGGAAAAAACATGGCGCAAATTTTCTTTAAATACAACTCGGAGAAGTTTCTTGAGGAGACGTGTTTTACGTGGACTCTGGAGGAGGAGGGAAGTAGGAATGGAGAAGGAGGGAAGACCGAGCGGGTGCAGTTAGTCATTCATTCATCACAGAAGCAGTTGCTGAGAACCTGTGTCACCCTCGCTAATACAGGCAGCTGTATTAGAGACTGCTAAAAGCAAACATTTCCCACATGGAACTCTTAGACCCCTTCCTAACCCCCTTCCCCCTGAATCCTCCATCTAATTAAACGAGTGCACTCTTCACCCAATCACTTAGTCCACAATGTAGGCATCTTCCTTGATTCCTCTTCTCTGATGTCCCTTCTACAATCCATTGAACAGTAGGTGCTGCATGAGGAGACGTGTTTTACATGGACTCTGGAGAAGGAGGGAAGACCGAGGGTGTGCAGTTAGTCATTCACTCACAGGAAGCAGTTGCTGAGCACCTCTGTCACCCTCGCTAATATAGGCAGCTGTATTCTGTCACCTTAGCTAATACAGGCAGCTGTATTAGAGACCGCTAAAACCAAACATTTCCCACATGGAACTCTTTGACCCCTTCCTAACCCCTCCCTGCTGAATCCTCCATCTAATTAAACGAGTGCACCCTTCACCCAGTCACTTAGTCCACAATGTAGGCATCTTCCTTGATTCCTCTTCTCTGATGTTCCTTCTACAATGCGTTGAACAGTAGGTGCTGCCACCGCCATGTTAGAATTACATTATGGGCTAGATCAGTCCTTACCAAACCTACGGCTACACACGGAGCCAACCCCAGTCGTTTCTCCCCTAGATCACCACCAAGGCCTCTCCCCATGGCCCTGCCTCTGGGCTGCCACACTGTCCGGCGCCCTGCACAGGCCGATCCACGCAGAGCAGCCAGAGGGATCCTTTTAGCAAGGAAATCAGAGCAGGTCACTCCCCTGCTCAAAACACACCAGTGACTTCCCTCCAGGTGTTGAATAAAAGGGAAAACCCTCAGCAGGGCCCCGAGGTGCGTCCCTGCTCACTACAGACTCCCCGCCCTCAGCATGGCCAGCTCTCCTGCCTCCAGGGTGGACACTGGCTGTTAACTCTTCTCAGAAAGCACATCCCAGGAGCCTGGAAAGGCCAGACACTTCCCATCACGTGGGTTTGGGTTCAAGTACAACCTCCCAGACCGTCCTACCGACAATAGCCTCATCCCACCGTCTAGACATGGACCCCACAGCATTTTCTTCTTCTTAGAAATTATGTTTGCTCTCTTGTTTAACACCTGGAACTTTCAAAAGAAAATAATTTCCCTGTGAGGTCAAGACTGTCATTCACCATCGTTTCTTCAAACCGCAGACCCGTGCCTGGCACACAGTAGGTGCTGAATACATAATTGTTCCATCGAAACAGTCTCGGGGCAGAATAAGAGTGACGACGGCATCACTTCCACAGATGAAAGTGACATTCCTACTCTGAGAAAAATTAGAGAGTAAACAGTTATTAGACAGAATCCCAGGGATCTTATAACCCCAGCAAAGGTGGAGAGCAGGGAAGGGAAATGAAATAAGTGAGATCCTGGCTTTTCTTTTCCTCACTGTGTGTGACTTTGTGTTGTCCAGACACGGACCCCACGGCATTTTCTTCTTAGGAATTATGTTTGCTCTCTTGTTTAACACCTAGAACTTTCAAAAGAAAGTAATTTCCCTGTGAGGCCAAGACTCTGTTTCATTCACCATCATTTCTTCAAACCGCAGACCCGTGCCTGGCACACAGTAGGTGCTGAATACATAATTGTTCCATCGAAACAGTCTCGGGGCAGAATAAGAGTGACGACGGCATCACTTCCACAGATGAAAGTGACATTCCTACTCTGAGAAAAATTAGAGAGTAAACAGTTATTAGACCACTCCCCACACTGGGGTTTGAGCCCACAACCCAGGCATGTGCCCTGACCGGGAATTGACCGTGGCCTCCTAGTTCATAGGCCAACACTCAACCACTGAGCCACGCCGGCTGGGCCTAACTATGTGTGACTTTAAGCGAGCTCCTCAACCTCCCTCAGCCTCAATTTCTCATTTGTTCCAAAGATCAAATGAGATTACAATATAAAGAGCCCCCAAAGATCAGACCCTGACAGACACTGGTTCCTTCCATGCCTACTTCTCTCTTTCCCATGACAATCAATGGAATCTTGCATCTAAAACGGCACATTAATGACATCCAGCAGTCAGAACTGGGGACCTCCAAGCCAAAGAAACCTGAGAAATAGTTGGCCCTTTCATTTAACAGAGGAGCGTAGTGTTCTATCAATAAATGCTCATCTATTTGAGAACTTAACACTAAAAGACACAAAGACACAATGTCATAACCAAACCCCAATGAAAGGTCACTGTGGCGAAAACGGAGGGCTGAGCATCTACCAGGCACTGTGCTAGGGCTGAGCACACGTTCCTCGTGAATCTTCACAGCACGGGTGTGCGAGTTCAGTCAGCAAACGGAGGTCCCAAGTACCTTAAGGCCCCACAGCCACAGCCAGCGAGTGGCAGCGGGGATCCCACCACCAGTCCGTTTAGTCCTAGAACCTGGGCTGCACACCCAGGGCCACTGAGAGGCCAAAGAAACCTCTGAGAAATAGCTGGCACTTCATTTTAGAGGAGCGTAGTTCTATCGATAAATGCTCATCTATTTGAGAACTTAACACTAAAAGACACAAGGACACTTACAATGTCATAACCAAACCCCAATGAAAGGTCACCATGGCCACCACTAATCCGTTTAGTCCTAGAACCTGGGCTGCACACCCAGGGCCACTGAGAGGTTGGGGCAGTCCGTGCGCTGCACCATGGCGCCCACGGGGGGGGACAATGCCAGCCCCCAGAAACGAAGCCTGACGCTGAGTCTCTATGCAGAGAAAGAGACACAACTTTGCAATTTCGGACACTTACAATGTCATAACCAAACCCCAATGAAAGGTCACCATGGCCACCACTAATCCGTTTAGTCCTAGAACCTGGGCTGCACACCCAGGGCCCCTGGGAGGTTGGGGCAGTCCGTGCGCTGACCATGGCGCCCACGGGGGGGACAACGCCAGCCCCCAGAAACGAAGCCTGACGCTGGGTCTCTATGCAGAGAAAGAGACACAACTTTGCAATTTCCCAGAAACACGGCATGTGTTGAAGGCATTCTGAAGGAGAAATAAAAGGCACCCAAATTGGAAAGTAAAAAGTAAAACCATTATTTGCAGAGGGCGTGATACTGTATATATAGAACGCTAAAGATTCTACCAAACTTACTAGAGCTGATAAATGAATTCAGTCAAGCAGCAGGATACAAAACAAATACCCAGAAATCAGTTGCATTTTATACACCAATAATGAACTCACAAAAAGGGAAACTAAGAAAACAATCCCATTTTGCATAAAAAAAATACCTAGGAATAAATTAACCAAGGAGATAAAAGACTTGGAAAATAGGACACTGAAGAAACTGAAGCTACAAATAAACGGAAGCATATACCGTCCGTGCTCATGGGTGGGAAGAATTAACCTCATTAAAATGTCCATCCTACCCAAAGCAATCTATAGAGCCAATGCACTTTCTATCAAAATAAAATAGCATTTTTCACAGAACTAGAATAAATAATGCCCTGGCCGGTTTGGCTCAGTAGATAGAGCATCTGCCTGCGGACTGGAGGGTCCCATGTTCGATTCCGGTCAAGGGCATGTACCTTGGTTGCGGGCACATCCCCAGCGGGGGGTGTGCAGGAGGCAGCTGATCGATGTTTCTCTCTCATCGATGTTTCTAACTCTGTCCCTCTCCCTTCCTCTTCTGAAGGAGAAATAAAAGGCACCCAAATTGGAAAGTAAAAAGTAAAACCATTATTTGCAGAGGGCGTGATACTGTATATATAGAACGCTAAAGATTCTACCAAACTTACTAGAGCTGATAAATGAATTCAGTCAAGCAGCAGGATACAAAACAAATACCCAGAAATCAGTTGCATTTTATACACCAATAATGAACTCTCAAAAAGGGAAACTAAGAAAACAATTCCATTTTGCATAAAAAAAAAATACCTAGGAATAATTAACCAAGGAGATAAAAGACTTGGAAAAGAAGACACTGAAGCTACAAATACACTGAAGCATATACCGTGCTCATGGACGGGAAGAATAAACCTCATTAAAATGTCCATCCTACCCAAAGCAATCTATAGAGTCAATGCACTTTCTATCAAAATAAAATAGCATTTTTCACAGAACTAGAATAAATAATCCAAAAATTTATATGGAACCACAAAAGACCCCAAATAGCCACAACAATCTTGAGAAAGAACAGAGTTGGTGGTATCATGCTACCTAGAATCAAACTATACTCTAAGGCTACAGTAATGAAAACAGCATGGTACTGGAATAAAAACGGACACATATGTCCATGGAACAGAATACAGAGCCCAGAAATAAACCCAGCCAATGCACTTTCTATCAAAATAAAATAGCATTTTTCACAGAACTAGAATAAATAATCCAAAAATTTATATGGAACCACAAAAGACCCCAAATAGCCACAACAATCTTGAGAAAGAACAGAGTTGGTGGTATCATGCTACCTAGAATCAAACTATACTCTAAGGCTACAGTAATGAAAACAGCATGGTACTGGAATAAAAACGGACACATATGTCCATGGAACAGAATACAGAGCCCAGAAATAAACCCACACCTATACGGTCAATTAATAAATGACAAAGGAGACAAGAACATACAATGAAGTAAAGACAGTCTCTTCAATAAATGTTGGGAAAATTGAACATATGTGCAAGAAAATGAAATTAGACCAACTTCTTACACCATATATAATGAACTCAAAATGCATTAAAGACCATGTGAGACTAGAAACCATAAAACTTTTGAAAAATATAGGCCGTAAAAAAAGTGCTCATTACATTTGTTTCATAACCAACAAGTCTAATCGTGTCCCTCCCCCTTAACACCCTTCCTTGGCCCTTTCTTCCCATTTTCCTCCCCGGCCCAGCTTGCTGCACCCTTGGAGGACTCGTTTCTGACTCTGCACGTACCCGCCCTCCCTGCCTTTGGGCCTTTGCACGTGCTAAGAGGGGTTTCTCTGCTTTCACTCTGCCCTACCCCAGACCCTGTCTGTTCTCCACACAAAAGCCATATTGATTTAGCACATAGAGCAGATCATCTTACTCGCTGCTTCAAAACCCAGTGGTTCCACTGCTACCTGAATGTCACACGAAGCCTGACCATGGCCTGAGGCCCCGGGTTACCTCGCCCAGCCTTCCTTAGATCTCATCTGCGTTCCTCCCTGCTGTGCTCTAGTCACCGGCAGTCTCTCCGCCCACTGATGACCAGCCCACTTCCCCTCCAGCCCAGCTTGCTGTGCCCCGGCCTCAAACGCTCCCCCAGCGCTTTGCAGGGCTGGCTCCTTTTCATGCCACTGAATGTCACTGCATCGGACCAGCCTTCCCTAACCTCTTAGCTAAAGCAGCTCCCACCCCACCAGGTGCTGTTTTCTGGACAGCACTTACCAGCGCCTGGTGTCGCTCCTGTGTGTTGCATCTCACCCTGCAGGTCTGAGCTGCAGGAGGGCAGGGACTGTGTGCGGATCTTGAGAGTGGCGAACTCTGGGTTCAGTAGATGCCTGTTGACTTGGTGAGTCAATGAATGTGCAGACCACATGACAGACACACATTTACACAGGCTCCCACTCACCTCTGCACCTTCAGTTACAGCTGCACAACGCTCCACTCTTATCAGCAAGGTAGCCACTGTACCTCTCTGTGCACTTACTCCCGCACTGAGAGGCCTAACAATATAAACACTTTCACCCCCACAACACACATAAGTGCGTGCGCGCATGCGCCCGGTTTTCTGCAACATCTTATTCCCACCAGCAATACAGACCCCGACTGCCTTTGCCAGGACAAGCCTCACTGCACCACGATGCGTTCTTTTTCCTAGTCCGCCCCCAGCGCTCTGGCTTGTGCCACTTCTGTAGCTTCTGCAAGAATCCACCAATCCCAGGCCACCACTGCGCTTCTTCGGGGAGCACCTCCTAAGCTATAGAAATGTCTCACCATTCTACTGGACACCTATAACTCACAGTTTTCAGTGTCAACTATAACTGAAATATACAAATTAATGATACAAAACATCAAAACTAAACCTAAACTTTTAATTTGTTTTAAAATAAAAAAGCCACACAGCTTCACCCTATGAAACCTAGTCCCGTTTATGACAAATGCCAATGAAACTACAAGTTTCCTCACGTCAACTCATCCCTTTATACATCAAGACTTAGGCTTTTTTCTCTCAAAATCCTTTTTTGATCAGCCCTGGCCAGGTAGCCCAGTTGGTTGCAGCATCATCCCAATACACCAACATGGCTGGTTCAGTCCCCAGTCGGGGCACATACAAGAATGCACAAATAGGTGGAACAACAATTTGATGTTTCTCTCTCTCTCTCTCTCAATCCCTTCCCCTCTCTCTCTCTAAAATCAATACAGAAAACATTTTTTAAATCCTTTTTATCAGATTAAGAGATGTACTTCATTTACACATGCACAAAACAATATGTATTACAAAAAAAAAATTTCTAAGTAGAAGTAGAAACTTCTGCTTTCCACAGACCAAAACAACTAAAACCTTACTTGGGAAATTTTGAAAACACAATCTATTGTTTTTGTAATCTAACAACACACATTTTTATTTATTGTTAACAATATCTATTTTACAACAGGACAAGTATACACAGACTAAAACAGCAGGGCTCCCACGTGCAGCCCGAGCCACACTGGAAGCCTCTTAGAACCATTTAGTGCTCTGACAGCAGGACTGCGCGGGTGGAGCAGGAATAAATAATAGTGCTTTTGGGAGAATCGTAGTGACCAGTCGAGTAGCTAAGGACGGGGCCGCACTGAGTACGGTGCAGCGGGAACTATGCCCCAGGACTGACATGTGCAAAGTTCTAGATCTCCCAACAAAGTGTCTAAGGACCCACTAGGCCTGTGATGGGCTTTCGTCTGCAGCCAGGCCGTGGTAATGAGCCTGCCCGGGGTTTCAAGCACACCTACACTGAGAGAAAGGAAAGCCACCCCGTGTAACTGGGTCCAGTCTAGGCCAGGAAGCCACAGCTAGCTGACTGATCAGGGCTTCTTAGGGATGGATGTTGGTTGAATTGAGGATTCGGGAAGAAGCATCAGATTTGGAGGCCTTTGAAAGTTCTCGCTGTGGAAAAATAAACACCGTCAGTGGCGATATTCCCTCTCGTGCATGCCCGCCCTCGTCAGCTTGGGTTAGGTGTCAGCGTAGGGCCCGAGGGCCGCTTCTCTGACACAGGTGCATAGCACAGGCTGTGTTAGGAACCATGGGGAGGCACTGTGAGCACCATTCCATTAGTCACAGGTTAAGCACGTGACCCATCCCTCAGCCAGTCCATGTGTTAAAACCCCACAGAAGAGAAATCCCTTTTGTGTCAGAAAGTACTCTGAGTTGCCGAGCTGGGTTGGCAACAAGCTTTGGCGTCTGAGCCCTTTATAAAACAATGGGCCAGACCACATATCTACCAATCCCTGGGGCTGAGGGCCTTGTAACCTGCCGGTGATCTGATCTCATGCTGGAGCACATGGTACAGAAGGAGCAGAGAAAGCACAGAGGACCACGGGAAGGACAGGTGTTAGTGGAGGTTAGTCTACTGGCTGCATGCGGCCTGGAGGAGGCTGCCACCCACAGCAACCAAAACCACATGCCCCTCCTTCGGCTTGACCACAGGTGAGCAGCTACAGGTGCGCTCCAAGTGGGCGAAATGGGGCTTGACTGAGCAAGCCAGAGAGACGCCTGGACCCGCAGTCCAGCAGCCAGCCAGCCGGAGTGCACCCAGGTAGAACCACAGCAACCATGTAATTAAAAAAGGTGCCAGAATAGGAAGCTAACTTCAGGGCTCAAAGCGAGCTGTAGCCATGGGCAACTGGGCCATTCGCCGTCTCCCAGCAGGAAGAGAGCTGGCACCCACGCCTGTAACTCGGCATCCCAAGGGTAAGGCAGCCTCGTCCTCTCAGCAGGAAGCTACTGAGAGAAGAGAGCACGCCCCTTAAGTAAAGGGCATTGCAGGGAAGTGTTGGTAAATATGGAGGAGGATACAGGAGCTGAAGAGCATTCTGGGAAAATGACTTTCTCCCACAGCCTCATATGCTTTAGCAGCTCAATGGGATAGAAACAGGCAAAGGCGAGGAAGTGAGCGTTGGCCAGCTCAGAGCGGACAGACAGGTGGCATTCAGCCCCGAGGGTTAGTAAGGCACATACTCCAGGGGAGAAACATCACGTAGGCCAAGAACCTCATTCTAAGCAGCACACAGCTGGGGCTCCCCTCCCAGGCCAGGGGGCCGCTATTCTTTCCAGCACATGGGAGGCCTCTGATGGCACCATCGAGATGCTGGAAGCTTTCTGTTGTGAGTAACACGATACAAAAACTTTGCCTGACGGTAGGTGGGGCTGAGAATCCAATCCAAGTCTGCACAAGTTTTCTTGTGACTCGGCAGGTTAGGGTGCAGGAACGGAAGCCGGTGACTGGTTATGCGTCTGCCTCGGGAACTCCTGCTTCCTTTGTAAAAGGGCCTGTGGTCCCACAGCCGACGATTACTGGTTAGTGTAGCCCTGTGCCCAGATGGGAACGAAGCCAGCAGACGACAGACTGGTTTGAGAAAGGGACATGGGACATGCAGGGGTTGCCATACAGACCTGAAGCCCAACAGTGGAGCTGTCAGAGAGGGACGGATCCTTCTAAGAACAGAGAATTAAGACAATTACCAAGAACTCCACCAAGAGAGCACCAGGGCAGTGCTGAGAAGGGTCGCCTCCTGCAGCCAGGGACTGGTATTTCTCAAGCAGAAGGATCCGGGTCACATGTCTACTTGCTGCTGTCAACTTCCTATACCTCCCGGAAACCCCCCCACCCCATGCACGGCCAAGGCAGGAAAGGGATTCTCAGCCCCCAAAACGCTGTCCTAGCTGAGCGCCTGGGGCCCCGTGGGAAGACACCCACGGCCCCAACTGTGTGCTCCCCAGAGACTGGCAGATATTAGAAAAGGTCAATTACCGCAAACTCAGAGTAGGTGCTGGCAACAGAGTTAATGCTGAAGTTGCGCTGGAGGGGGGCCGAGCTGGGGTACCCACCGCTCAGCAAGCTGCCATTGAGCTCCAGGTTCTCCTTGTCGGCTCCATGCCGAACGGCACGGGGGTTTTTCTTCCCTGAACAGGTGGAAGTGAGGATTGGCTGTGGGGAAAGGAGAGATCAGCATGTTATCCTTATAATGGCCACACGCGCGCACACACACACAGACTGTACCATCTTAATATCACTCATTGTCGGTAACCCTATACAGTGCTTGATGTAAAAAACAAATGAACCAAAAAACTCTTAATGATTTGCAGAACACCTATCTTGAGCATCATCTGTAAAACACATTACAGCACAGACTCCCCTCCTGTCTCCTTCAGCGAGGGGACCTGATTGCCTGGTGACCCAGCGTCAGGGCTGGAACCCACGGGCAGCCCCTGAAGACCTGGCTTTGAACTGAGCGTGTGGAGCCCACCAGCTCCCCCCAGCTTCCCAGCCCCCTCCCAGGGCTCCCCCACGATACCAGTGGGGCTCAGCATGGCCATGCTCTTCTTTCTCTCATTCGGTTTTAGCTTAACCAGCTTGCATCTGCCAACTCGCAGCATCTCAATGATAACTGAATCCAGGGGTCTCAGAAACTGGAACCAGTAGGCGGGGCCCCTGGATAAACAGGCTGGGGTGGTGCTGGGGACGGGATGGTACGCAGAGCTTACTAACCTTGCTGCCAGAAGGTGGAAGTCGAGACACGGGGGAGCGGTAGACTGTCCCCCCAAAGGCAGGCCGAATGCTACTGTTGGCCGTGGCATTGGACATGGTGGTAGTGTTCAGCTGAGGAAGAGAGAGAGATTACTCATTCAGGGAACATGCTCAGCAATCCACCCCCAGACGACAGAGAAATGAGTCTGGGAAGCATCTAACAAAGATGCATTTCCATAAAGAGCTTTGAACAAACTTGTGAAAAGTGTTCAGAGCCTATTAATGTCTAGTTCACGGAACTATAAAATAGTATAACCGTCTGTTTCTAAAACTGGACAGACACCTATCATATGACCCAGCCCAGGAGAAATGAAAGCACAGCTCCATACAAAGACTCAGACATAAATATTTATAGCAGCTTCATCTGCAATAGCAACAAACCAGGAACAAGCCAAGATATTTGTCAGGCGAGTGGATAAGCCAACCACGTAAAGTCACATGGTAGATACTGCTCAACAATAGAAAGTAGTGACCTACTGATGCGAGCACCACCATGATGCATCTCTCAAAATTATGCTAAATGGAAGAAATTATGCTAAGTGAAAAAAAGCCCTATATATGAGTCTCTATATATAAAATGTTAAAAAATGCAAATTACTCATAGTGACAGAGCAAATTGTGTTTGTCTGGAAATGGGGGGAAGAGGACTGGACAATGGGTACGTTCACGGTCTGGACTGTGGTGAGTTTCGAGGCGCATACATGTCAGCCTTTATTCAGTGTCCACTGTAGACACTATGTGTCCATCTCACTCAGTAAAGCTGAGCATTTTTTACACGGAAAAGTCTAGGTGGGTTAAAAACCTCAAATGGGATAGCAAACCTGTTCAAACACAAGACACAGACTAGGACACACAACACAGGAAAAGGTATCTGTGCAAGTACAAGCCCTAAAGAAAACAGGCTGCTAACACGATTACTGTGTTAAAATTAAGAACTTCCTGTTCACCAAGGAAACACCATAAAGAAGAAAAAGACAAGCCGCACAAGAATCCTGGGGAAAGCTACTGTAACACAACTGACAGGAGTAGCATCCAAAACAAAGAATTCCTACAAGCCTTGTAAGAAAGAGACAAATGTTCACTTCATTAGTAAGCAGAGAAATGCAAACCAAAATCACAATCAGACATTACTTCAGAGCCATCAGGTGAACAAGAATCTAGAAGTCTGAAAGTACCATGTGTCAGGCCTGCCGCCGGAAGCACAGACTGTGTGATTAGTGCAGCTGAAGCTTCAGAAATGAGAGTTGGGCTTCCGGTCAAGATGGCAGACAAACGCTTGCCCCCTCCCAGGACCACAGCAAAAGGACATCTAGACAACAGAACCACCATCACTGAGAACCGCCAGAGGCTAGCTGACCTGCAGTCCTGTCGAGATTGGCGGGAGGGCAGAGAGGAGGAACGGGCAGGTCCCACACCCACTGCGGGTGGGTCAAGGAAAGTGAGATGGAAATTATAAGCTGAGATAAGCCCTCCATCACCATGAAGAAGGCTCGGGAAGGAGACCTCATGGCCCCCCAAAACCTAGGTCTAAGGACCCTAGGAAGTCACCTGTGGTGTTTTTGCGGAAAAAGATACCCTTTGCCCAGTAACTTGAAGTGTAAGCTCTGGCTCTCATCACTCTGATCCACAGCACAATAAGCACGCACAGCACCTGACAGAAGTTTCTAGTACAGGAAGGCAAACGGATAGAGAGGAGCTCACATACGGCCGAGACCTCAGAATGCGAGTCTCCCTGCATCGAAATTCCAGAGGTAGTGCCCACCCTCAGGTGACACCTGCTCTTAGGCCACGATGTGCACAGCGCTGTGGCGATCACCATGATCCCATGAAACAGGAAAACATGGCCAGGACACACCACTCTTCAGTGTGACTAACAGGGAACAAAGTTCCATAATTAAGCTAAAAAGAACATTGGGCAGGAAAAAACATGGCGCAAATTTTCTTTAAATACAACTCGGAGAAGTTTCATGAGGAGACGTGTTTTACATGGACTCTGGAGAAGGAGGGAAGACCGAGGGTGTGCAGTTAGTCATTCACTCACAGGAAGCAGTTGCTGAGCACCTCTGTCACCCTCGCTAATATAGGCAGCTGTATTCTGTCACCTTAGCTAATACAGGCAGCTGTATTAGAGACCGCTAAAACCAAACATTTCCCACATGGAACTCTTTGACCCCTTCCTAACCCCTCCCTGCTGAATCCTCCATCTAATTAAACGAGTGCACCCTTCACCCAGTCACTTAGTCCACAATGTTGTAGGCATCCTTGATTCCTCTTCTCTGATGTTCCTTCTACAATGCGTTGAACAGTAGGTGCTGCCACCGCCATGTTAGAATTACATTATTATGTAGATCAGTCCTTACCAAACCTACGGCTACACACGGAGCCAACCCCAGTCGTTTCTCCCCTAGATCACCACCAAGGCCTCTCCCCATGGCCCTGCCTCTGGGCTGCCACACTGTCCGGCGCCCTGCACAGGCCGATCCACGCAGAGCAGCCAGAGGGATCCTTTTAGCAAGAAAATCAGAGCAGGTCCCTCCCCTGCTCAAAACACGCCAGTGACTCCCCTCCAGGTGTTGAATAAGAGGGAAAACCCTCAGCAGGGCCCCGAGGTGCGTCCCTGCTCACTGCACAGACTCCCCGCCCTCAGCATGGCCAGCTCTCCTGCCTCCGGAGTGGACACTGGCTGTTACCGCTTCTCAGAAAGCGCATCCCAGGAGCCTGGAAAGGCCGGACACTTCCCATCACGTGACCTCCCAGACCGTCCTACCGACAATAGCCTCATCCCACTGTCCAGACACGGACCCCACGGCATTTTCTTCTTAGGAATTATGTTTGCTCTCTTGTTTAACACCTAGAACTTTCAAAAGAAAGTAATTTCCCTGTGAGGCCAAGACTCTGTTTCATTCACCATCATTTCTTCAAACCGCAGACCCGTGCCTGGCACACAGTAGGTGCTGAATACATAATTGTTCCATCGAAACAGTCTCGGGGCAGAATAAGAGTGACGACGGCATCACTTCCACAGATGAAAGTGACATTCCTACTCTGAGAAAAATTAGAGAGTAAACAGTTATTAGAC